TTTTTCGGCAATGCCATTCTGTCTACACTGACTTGTACCCCAGTTATCAGATGATACGGCCGCGCAGCCAGGTTGCGTGGCCCACTTCCCCCGACAGTCGCACGCGTCACCACACCACTGTCAGCCGCGCAGCTCGAACCCGACACACTCGCAAACACTAACAGTCCTCCCTCCTCCCTCCCTCTGAGCTCGACTAGAAAAATGTTCGCTCATTGGTTTTGCACTTACACAGTCCTTAGTGTTGGACTGATGCAGGGGGTTTGAAAGCTCAGACTAATGAACCTACCGTTTCACTGATTGCCTCTTCGTCTTCTTTTAATAATTCCTATTTACGGCCACTCGATTAAAACATTAACAATCGTGAAGTATCCATAGCAATTTTAAGAATGATCTGAAACGTATCGTGTTCCAGCCCCAAACGTAATTATAAATAAATTCGACGGAAGAAAACTTCTTCTAAAATACACAGAATTATATGTTTGGGATTGTTCCTGAGATTGCTATTTAAATTTATCCATTAATGACCAGCCTGTCTGCTTGTGATGCTATTGAGAATGTCATTCGTGTAGAGACCGTTTCGACGAAACTGAACTAAAACCTGTTTTTCCTAGTCAACTACAAATCTAAAAATACAAAATCGAGAAATATGCTGCTGGTTATTGTGAAAGAATGTTATACTGTTAACTCCTACTGAAGGCTGATGGCTACCTGCCATACGTGTCATTCAACTTATTATTTAAGGATATTCCAGTTTAAACTCCCCTAAAGTACTATTTCGTATCCTCATCTAAACGTAGGCTTACTCATTTAAAATGAGATTCAGCGTTTTCGGAATTTTTCGCTTTCCTGAAAACGTTGATATTTCTAAGCAATGTAAATTATAAATCTTACTATTTCTTCTCTGTTTCCAACTCCCTAAAAGTCGCTTCGCATTACTTCCTAGCTGTGGTTTATCCGCTTACGCCGGTTCGCTAGTGGCTAGAAATCATTCGTAAACTTTGATATCCTTCATGAAGGTACAAAGAAACTCTGTGGAACTTCCTCAAAAGTCTATAAATCCCTAGTGAATGCCTGGAAGAGCCTCGTCTAGGACCGAATTTCCGGAAAGACTGTAGCGGCGGCCCACGAAGCCAGTCGGATCGCGACTGACAAAGTCAACGCAGGAGAAGTACCCCGTAACCACGCTCTGCCAGTGGAAACTAGACGCGACTGTAGCGAATGGAGTGGGGGCGATCTGGCGTAGCTACGCCACGGTGCTCAACGCGTCAGTCATTTCTTGCCGTGTCAGTAAAAGAGTGCGCGAAGAGAGTGTTTTTACCTCTCTCTAATTGTTCTCACCGCTTGAGGCATCGACCTAGCACTGTCGAGCGCATCTCCCGTAAACTGCCTGCTCGGCTAGTATCCGTTAATGTCGCACATGGAAGCCACCAACACCTCAGCGAAGGTAGGACATTAAATATTGACCTACAGTAGGTGGGCTAACTCAAGCAATGTCAACCGAAATTCCTATATGCGTTTTCGACTTGAAAAGATTAATCAGACAGGGTTGTGAAACTGATCATCCTGCAGCATAATTAAATAATAATTCAGTTACCGCAGGATGTTGGCTTTCGAACAAACTTCCATCCGGCCACATGCAAAAACTGTACTCTGCGAAAAATGACTACTTAACTAGCATGCATTGTTCTCTCTGATTGTCGATGCCCTTAAATATTCAATTATATTTCGTGGAAAACATGCATAAGAATGTTCCTTCGTTTGTTTATTCCGTAGAAAATGACGTCTTCCAATATTATGCCTGGAGGAAAGATATAATTCAGTTTTCAAAAGCTTCTAATTTCCGACTAATTTTGAACCCGACCCTCCATTACACTTGCACTCACCGTTTCCAAACTACAAGCCGTATATTTTCCACGTACGAAAAACCATACATTTCCCGACGGTATTAAGAGGAAACCATATGGGGTTCACAAAATTTAACAGTGGATTTGAACTACACTGTAAACTTAACAAGACAAAAATGGTAAATGCGGAGACATGGCGTTTTATGAAAGGCCAATCCACGGTATCAAAAATCTCATAATAAGAAACTTTTTAAAGTCGTATTCTGCCCTTTTTGAGTATATAATTGGAAAAAGCCGTAATGACTACCGAAAGAGCAAAATACTGAATATTTTTAGGCGTATTTTCCATGAAATATAACTGAATGTTTAAGGGAATCGAAAATCAGAGAAAAAATGCATGCTAGATAAGCAGTCATTTTTTACAGAGTGTAGTTCTTGCATGAAGCCGGAAAAAAGGTCCATTCTAAAGCCGGCATCCTCGGGTAACTGAATTATTATAGAATTACACTGCACGATTATTAGTTTTGCAACCCTTTTTAATGAATCCTTTTGAGAAGAAAAGGCATTTCAGAATTTTGGTTGACATTTCGTGCGTTAGCCAACCTACTGTACTTAAATGCCTAAACAAATGGCCTACGCGGCACATACTGTATCGTGACATACAAGGAGCTTGTATCCGTCATCACCCAATAAAAGTCATGCCTCATATCTGTCCCTGACCTTTAGGGGGGGGGGGGGAATCTGGTGTGTTCTGCTGGCCAGGTCACGTGTGGCGCGTGCAGGTGTCCACTTGCATCCAACGGCCGGCTAGTTTGGACTGTGAGCTGGCGACTGGCAAGGCGAAGTATGAGTGAAGCCGACATCAGGGACGCCGAGCTCATTTTGTACAATCTAACCCGTCTTAGAGCTATCACGACCCGTTAACAGTCGCGGGTAAGATGTGGTCAGGTAGCCCCACCTGATGGACACAATACTGTTGGGGCTGGCGGTTAGGGTAAGGGGTTAGGATAAGGGGTTATATTTAGGGGTTAGGGTTGGGATTAGGGGTTAGCGCATCTATTTCCCAACCACTCAAAGTACAACCGCGCATCCCAATAGCTTTTCTTTTGCATATAACTACTTGCCCCTGCCGCCTGTGCGTTTCCCAATCCCACCTGTAAAAAACCCTATTACCACCGGTCCCTTAGTAGAGGTGACTGGGGTTTTTTTAACTTTAGGTGGGAATACCAAACCACATCCGAGCAAGATGTGGCTTGGGAGGCTGCTATGTGGTTTCAGAGACCGAAAAAGTAGTCTGTACCGGCTCGCCTCCACCGGTTTCTGTTACCCAAGTCGTGGGTGTGGCCCACGTAGACAGGCTGTTTAGCCTTTTCCGGTGCCGCGTTTGCCGCTCCCTCGGGTCGTCCCAACTTTATCTCGTCATTACGCCCGGGCAGGCGCAAGTCTGCTATCACTGTAAACTTATTCATGCGTTAATCACCATACTGCTCCCTGCCTTCTCTGACGCACACGGTGGACATCAGCGTTTGCGACGGCAGAACTGATGTCCATATTAAATACCCTTCGGTAAATGCTCTGACCGAGAGATTGCATGTCCGTCTGTCAGATTCTGCATGTATCATTGAGTCTCATTAGGCGACTTTCTAAAGGATGCCTGAAAAGCCCAGCGGAACTGATCGAAATAATGCCTGCTACCACAGCCAACAACTTACCGATTACTTAACACGTTCAAATGTTTTAACCGACTGGGAAATGAATTGCCAGACAGCTGCAATAGATTTGGGAACGAGTTAACCAACGATGTCGGTTTTGCGAGAGAAGAGATTTAGGTCTACATTTTAAAGCGCAAAAAATTGATTCAAACGTGTTGACACCTGCTCTGATCTAGTTAAAAAAATAAGAATCATTGAGTTTGCTCAGAGCAACAGTTTAAATTCAAAACTGCGTAACGCAAAGAGAACTTTTTGTCGATCAGAGTTAGGCAAACACCGGGCAAAATCGCACTGCTTGAAAACTGCACAGCGTTCTTTAAAATACAGGCTTATGGTTGGATCTTGGAGATGATAAAGGTCAGTGAGCTAAGTACTGTAAGGAGATTTCACGGTTTGAGGTAGAGATTAGAGTTGCGCTTTACAAATCCGCATCAATGATGGGACGTTCCCTGTGACTTTTTTATATTAATTGGCTGTTCGTAGAAATGCTACCGCTTGTGAACAGAAAAACAATTCCGACGCTGGTGATTGAGCTTGAGTAAACCTTTCCCGTCGATGACCTTGAAACCCACATCTAGTGATTTTTCGATTGGGAACGGGCAACCCTTGCGAGAAATGACCGCATTTAATTTAAAACTAGAGTCCATCAATGCAAACTTACTTCTGCAACCTGCTTGGAAGGGAGTTTACATTGCTTGTGTCTCTTCAGTCTGGAATCGGCCGCAAATTACCTAAAGCGCGACAGTGTTGATTTTTGAATTTAGTTAATCACAACGATCATCGGATTACGTTCCCCTGGCGCTTAGCATATATTAAATATTTCGGCATCAAATTTGTCCACGAAATCTGTCCAAGCGTTCAGACGCCGGTCTGATATTTTGCATATGTATAAACTATCCAAGCCGCTTAGGAGGTAATTCTGACACCTAAATACCTCTTTTTCTCAACACTTTGTCTATGACGAAACACTCTATTATTTGGAAACCTTCAGAGGAGAGGATGCCTGTGTCCCACTTGAACTAAAGGCTCAGAGTCGCACGTAGTTCGGCCATGTTTCGACGGTGAACAACGGTATGAAGCAGTGCTATGCTTAAGTCTTATGTTCCCTGCCATACTGATGGCCGTCTATCCTGACGAACGGCTGGGAATCCGCCTCGCTCACGGGACGGCTGGCCACCTCCTCACTATTCGCCGGATGTATTTCTAATCGCCTTCTTGGCACCTCTCGGGTTTTGTTGCAGTTGTTGGCTTTCCCTTCGTCCTCCAATCGCAGGAGTTATGATGAGCTTGCATTCACTCTGTGCAACCTGATCAACGCCCTTCATTGACCGTCTTTACGTGCGATGGCCTTCCGTCTGCCAAGCTGATGGACACCCTCCACGACTAACTTCCTCGGATCCGCAAAGCTTACAGAGCGGCTGGCCACCTTCTCAACCACTGGCGGATGCACTTCCAGTCGTATGCATCCACAGCCACCGTCCACGAAGTTCTCTTCGCCGATGACTTCGTCTGGAACGCCACCTCACAAGGCGACATGCAAAGGAGCATGGATCTCTTCTTTGTCGCCTGCGATAATTTCTCTCTGATCACAAACACCGAGAAGACGGTGCTCATGCATCAACCGCCACCCATCAATGCCCACAATGCGTCGAAAATCAGCGTCAACAAAACCCAACTGCAAGTGATGGACAATTTCGCGTATCTGGGCAGCACACTCTCCCGCAACACCAACATCGACGACGAAATCGATGACGAAGGTCATCATCATCATCATACATGCCCATCAACACTACACACAATCCCAGCACACCAACTCCCTCCTCACCACCAATGTGGACTCCATCCATACCTGTCCTCATTGTAATCGCGCCTTAACTTCACACATCGGCCTAGTCAGTCACTTGCGAATTCATCGCACAGAGACTGCCGAACCAGTGCCTGGAGCACCGCATGGGTCTCTTCGGCCACATGCGCAGCCACGACGACCTGCGGTAGATAACCGCCGGCTGTACCACATCATCACTCCCGCACCACCATTAGCATCCCCATCACGCATCCACACTCACCCACCGCAAGCACCCAACTGCCACCTCCCAGGCAAGTGGGAAGTGTGCATCTCGACTCGGTCCCCATGCGGCTTCGGCTGCAGGGGTGACTTGAGTCTAAGACTATCCCGACACGTCAATCGTCGTGGATAGGATGGTTGCTGATTGACGCCCCCCTCACTCAGTCCACGCAGTCCGTCCCGTTGTGCGTGTGTAGGTTGTGTAGAGTGGTGGACTGGTGGGCTGGGAGATGGGCTGAGACAGCACCTTCCACGGCCCTCCCACGCAAGTGAGAGGTTCGCTGTTCAACCACGTTGTGCGAAATCCTGGTGTATGTGTGTGTCTGGGGGACCAGGTCGTGCACGCGGCGCACGCAGACATGGTCAGTCGACCATGCCAGCCACCGCGCCCATTCCCCACTCCAGTCTGCTGACCGGCTCGGACGGTGGCTGTGGTGTGGGAATGGGAAGGGAGGGTGAGGTCGACGAGTCAGCGCATTTTCCTCCTCACTATAAACAATCTGACGCACTTGAATCTTTCACGGTGCGCTTAAGCCGTGACACGGATGGATGCCAAGTACTGGAAGAAGAGTTCACGGTTTGAGGTAGAGATTAGAGTTGCGGTTTCCGAATCCGCATCACTGATTGGACGTTCCCTGTGACTGCTCTACATTCATTGGCTGTTTGTAGAAATGCTACCGCTTGTGAGCAGAAAAACAATTCTGACGCTGGCGATTGACCTTGGTTAAACCTTTCCCGTTGATGACCTCGAAACTCACATCTAGTCATTTTTCGAATTTTCTGCTTGAATTTGACTTTTTTGCCGAAAACAGTGGTTTTTACGTATGGCGGCATCTTAAGCACACTGGTAGTACGGATGTGTGTGTGTGTGTTACAGCACTGGGAAAATTAGTCATTCGGACATTTATTCGCGAGCAGAGCTACGTCGTCGATGAAAAGAAAAGAATGGATTTCGAGCAAGTTAACCAGTACGCGCTGCATATTTCACGGCTGTCACGTGACCATGCAAGGCGACAGCGGCTGCAGTGAGCATGTGCGCGTTCCGATTCCGGCCTGTTATGACGCATACCAGGAGGCATCCGACAAATAAATGGATCTGAATGACGCTGACGACGCGGTATGGCGTATTTGGGTATACTACTTAAATATTTCTTGGTCAGTCAGAGTAAAGCAGCATGTGGGACCATTGCGTCGTAAGGCTCGTTGCCGGGTCTGGTCAGCTGCGTAAATGGTATTCGGGGATAGCATATTCACTAGTGAACTAATTTTTCCTATGGATTAAGTGATCGACTTGTGTGGCGTCGTATGGAGAACTAATGACAAGGACATTTCCTCACCACCGACCCCGTGTGCTTCTAATGATTGCAACCCATCGACATGCGTTCATGAGATCTGGTTCGTTGTCTCTTGGCCAAATACGATAATCGTCTCTTACATTTTGGCCAAGACCAAATTTAGAAGATGGATTTTTGAAAAATTGATGATTTGCTATATAGAAGCAACAAAGGAATTAATAAATTCAAGTCTGGAAACGATTGGGAACGGGCAACGGTTGCGAGAAACGACCGCATTTAATTTTAATACTATCGTTTATTAATGCAACTTACTTCTCCAACCTGCATGGAAGGGAGTTTACATTGTTTGTGTCTCTTGAGTCTGGAATTGGCCGCAAATTTCCAAAGTCTCGACACTGTTAATGTTTTAATTTAGCTATTCAGAATGATCATCAGACTGCGTTCTCCCGGCAGTTAGCATATAATAAATTTTTTGGCATCAAATTTGCCCATCAAATACTTCCAAGCCTTCAGATGCCCGGTCAAAACCGCTTAGGAGGTAAGTCTCAAACATAAACACCCCTTTTCTCCAAACTCTGTCGATGACGAAACGCTCTATTATTTGGAAACCTTCAGAGGAGAGGATGCGTGTAACCCAGTTGAATTGCAGACTCATGTTTTGAACTAGCACAGAAATTGGTACGATTGACTATATGAGAGAGGAATAAGCATAAGCACATTGCAGGCAGATAATCCATGTTCACTGCCATGCCGATGGACGCCCCCTGGGACCCGCATCACCTACAAGACGGACGGCGGATGCACTTCCGATTGCGCGTATCCACAGCCACCGTTCACGAACTTTTCATCGTCGACGCTTGCGCCCTCAACACCACCTCGGAAGAGAACATGCAATGTAGCATGGACCTCTTCTCCGCCGCCTGCGAGGACTTATGTCTAATCATCAAAATGCAGAAGACGGTGGTCATGCATTAACCGCCACCCATCATTGCCCACAAAACGTCGCAAATAAGCGTGGACGGAATTCAACAGCAAAGGATGAAAAACTTTACGTATCTGGGCAGCGCCCTTCCCCACAGCACCAAAATCGATGATGAAATCGATGGCGAAGGCCATTATCATTATCATCATCATCATCATCATCCATGCCCGTGAACACTACACAAATCCTGACACACCAACTCCCCACCTCACTACCAATGTGGACTTCATCCATACCTGTCCTCATTACAATCAAACATTAACTTCACACATCGGCCTAGCCAGTCACTTGCGAATTCATCGCACGGAGACTGGTGAACCAACGCCCGGAGCACCAACCTACACCCGCCGCATCCGCCTCCACTGTTCACACTGCCCCCGCATATTCATGCACTGCATGGGGCTATTCGGCCACATGCGCATCAACGAAAGCCTGCGGGAGACAACCGCCGGCTGTATCACACCATCCCTCCCAAACCACCACCACCATAACCGCATCACGCATCCACACTCACCCACCGCAAGCACCCAACTGCCACATCCCATGCAAGTGGGAAGTGTGCATTTTGACTCGGTCCACATGCGGCTTCGGCTGCACGGGCGACTTGAGTCTCAGACTATCCCGACACGTCAACCGTCGTGGGTAGGAAGGCTGCTGATTGACGCCCCCCTCACTCAGTCCACGCAGTCGGTCCCGTTGTGTGT